AAAGGGTTTGCACCAGGTCTGGGGACACAGGGGACACCGTCTTAAAGGGGCCGTGTCCCCAACAAGTCTGGGGACACGGCCTTAAAGGGGCAGTGTCCCACCTTCCTGATGTCCCAAAAAAGGTGTTTAAAGGGCCAGCACCAGTCACATAAAGAGTCCATAAGCCCCAATATGCCCACCGACAGTCTTAAAGGGCCATACACACCAAAAAAAAGTGCATACATTTTCACAATCTCCCAGGGGCCATAGTCATGCGGGAGGAGGCTGGCAAATAGGCTTCTCCACAACCCAGGGAAGCAGGGCAATTTGCCATTTAAAGGGCCAGTTATAAATAGCAGTTTGTAACAAGGTGTCAATCCATATCTGCCAAGTGACCCGATGTAGGGGGAACAGTCTCTATTCTGCTCTGTGTCAGGAACCTTAGGACAGGTGTCAATCCATATCTGCCAAGTGACCCGATGTAGGGGGAACAGTCCCTATTCTGCTCTGTGTCAGTGTGTATCAGGGATCCTTAGGACAGGTGTCAATCCATATCTGCCAAGTGACCCTATGTAGGGGGACCAGTCTCTATTCTGCTCTGTGTCCGTGTGCATCAGGGGCTCTGAGGACAGGTGTCAAGCCATATGTCAAGGTGTCAATATGTCATATGTCAGGTGTCAATCCATATTGATTGTGATTTAGGAATGTTAGGTGTTTTCTGCCCTTTATGGATTAAAACCAGACTCTGTATCAACTGTGTAATTTTCCATGGGAGTTTTGCCATGGATCCCCCTCCGGCATGCCACAGTCCAGGTGTTAGTCCCCTTGAAACAACTTTTCCATCCCTATTGTGGCCAGAAAGAGTCCCTGTGTGTTTTAAAATTCGCCTCCCATTGAAGTCAATGGCGTTTCGGGCGGTTCGCCGGTTCGCGAACATTTGCGGAAGTTCGCGTTCGCCGTTCGCGAACCGAAAATTTCGGGTTCGCGACATCACTAATGGTTAATAATCTGAACAAACTAGATAGCCCTATTAAATTTACATCAGAGATCAGTACTGATAAAGTACATTTTCTTGATTTACAAATTTGGGTTGAGAATAACCGTATACAGTATTCATTGTACACTAAACCCACGGATCGAAATACTATTTTACACGCACAAAGTGCGTATCCAGAACGACTCAAGTCTCCATTACCTAAGGCACAATTTTTGAGAACCATTCGGAATAACTCGAATGAGGGAATAAGAGAAGAGCAATTAAAACATATGAAAATGAAATTTCTGAATCGTGGATACAATAATAAACAATTGGATGAAGCATTACAACAGGCCAGAGAATTTACTCCAAAGGAAGTTGTAACAAAGAATCATTTGATCTGTTCAACAACATACAACGATATATCGATTAAGCTATCGAATACTGTTAAAAGAAATTGGAACATGTTGGCTCAAGAATCCACACTCCCTTCAATATTTAAAGAGGAATTTACGTGATATATTGGTGAAAACAGACCCAACACAAAGTTATGTGCGGGAAGGGAAGACACAGCAACGTGGCAGTGTCAGATGTTTAGGTTGCGTGACATGTAGCCACATGGTACCGTCACGGACCTTTAAGAACCCCCATACCAATAAGAAGTTCCAAATAAATCACACAATCACCTGTAAAACACCATTCGTAATATATAAACTTACCTGTCCTTGCGGTTTATCTTACATAGGTAAAACTGAGACTCCCTTATGTGAGCGTATCAGAGGACATCGATCAAATATTCGTACAGCTTATAGGGATGGTAATAGTGACAAACTGGTTGCAAAGCATTTTTTTAGATCTACAACATCCTCTTACATCTCTCAAATTCACTGCAATAGATCATATCCCGGAACCACGTCGAGGGGGTGATAGAGGAAAGATGCTTCTTAATAGAGAAACCTATTGGATTTTCCGTCTTAATACAGTCTCACCAAAAGGCTTTAATGAAATGATCTCGTATCACTCTTTTCTCTGATATAACTCCTGCCTGTATATATTGTTTTTAATTTAGGTGGCAGATTATTGGTTATTGATTATGTAGCTTAAAGTCCTATAGTCTGTTATGTAGGTTATTTAAGTAAGTCTAAATACCTTGGACTATAGATATTGGAGTGACTTATAGCGTTATTCACGCATGCGCGCTGGCTGACAGAGAACGCCGATTTCCAGATTTCACATGTGTGGTGAGTTACATATCCATAATTAATGTAGCTATATATTGAATGTTGTTGTAAGTGTAGTGTATGTCATTTGATCCTGAGGAAGGTCCCTGCGTGGACCAAAACGTTGATCTCGTTCATTTTATGGAATAAAGAAATTACTTCATTACTTAGACCGTGAGTGCAGCCCTCAAATTTATTTTCATTTTTGGAGTATATATATATATATTTATATATATATAAAAATTATTATTTTTTTGCAGATTGATTTAAATTTAAGATGACCTCAATGTGGAAATTGTCATTTTAATTTCAACAGGTGCTTAGTGATATATTTTCTATATCTTGAATGTATCCTTTCAAAATAATTATTTGAAACAGCCTTTTTAAGACAATTACATCCATTTATTAAGTGAAATGAAACTTGTTAATCTGAATATCCATAATTCAGCAGATAGGTTATGTGGAAGTAAATCTTTGTCAGCATGCTCTGTACTTTTAATAGTAAAAGTATTTGTAGATCTTTCAATGTACTTCAGGTTAAAACACAAATGGCTTATGGAAGCCAATAGAAAGGTGCAAGTTGATGCCTGCATTTGAAAACCTTTTGAGATGTCAACATTATTTTTTTTTTATATATATATATATATTTTTGGTGTATAGATCATGCTCCTACAGTCTCACTGCTCAATTCTTTGCCATTTACGAGTTAAATCACTTTGTTTATGAACCCTAGTCACACCTCCCTGCATGTGACTTGCACAGCCTTCATAAAGCCTTCATGTAAAGAATCATCTAATGTTTATCCTTCCTTTTATTGCAAGTTCTGTTTAAGTTAGATTTTTGTATCCTCGTATGCTATGTTAAAAGCTTGCTAGACGCTGCAAGAGCCTCCTGTATGTGATTAAAGTTCAATTTACAGAGCAAGAGATACAATTGTTTAAAGGACCACTATAGCTTAATGAAGTGGTCTGGGTGCCTGGTCCAGCTAGGTTTAACCGTTTTTTCTATAAACATAGTAGTTTCAGAGAAACTGCTATGTTTACACTAGGGTTAATCCAGCCTCTAGTGGCTGTCTCATTGACAGCCGCTAGAGGCACTTCCGCACTTCTCACTGTGAAAATCACAGTGAGAAGACGCCAGCGTCCATAGGAAAGCATTGTGAATGCTTTCCAATGATACTGGCTGAATGCGTGCGCGGCTCTTGCTGCGCATGCGCATTCAGCCGAGGAGGCGGAGAGTCCCCCGCCCGGCACTGAAGAAAGAGTTACGTTTAACCCCTTCCACCCCCTAGAGCCTGGCGGGAGGGGCACCCTCAGGGCACTATAGTGATCCTTTAAGGTAAATTACATCTGACTGAAAGTGAAACCAGTTTTTTTTTTTCATGCAGGCTGTCAATCAGAGCCAGGGGAGGTGCGACAAGGCTGCATAAACAGAAACAAAGTGATTTAACTCCTAAATGGCAGTGAATTGAGCAACCTGAGGTGCATGATCTATACACTAAAACTGCTTCATGAAGCTAAAGTTGTTTAGGTGACTGTAGCGTCCCTTTAAAAATACAAAATTATAACTATACTGCTACCAATAAAACTCACATTCCCACAATACAAGATGTTATAATATTTGATCTAGAATGTCAAACATAAGTCACAATGTCTTCATGTAATCCAGCCTATTTCTTATTCTTGTACAAACTTACACACAGGGGTTTGTTTACCAAACTGGTAATTGTCAAAAAGCCAAAATATGGCATATCAAACAAATCTGCCACTTTCTCACCAGAACGCTGCCAGCAGCCCATGAATGAAAAGTAAACTATCCAGTGCTAGCTTGTGGTGTAGCCACCGTCTTAAATGTAAATGATAAACATTTTCCATTATTGTCGTTACTTCAAAGGCAAAGGATCCTGCAAAGCCATTTATAAAAAAAAAAAAAAAAAAATAGTATCTTTTTCCTTCCATGATAGGGCTGCTAAAGAGCTTTTGCATTTGTATTACTTTTAAATAAGGGGGTCCTGAATCTATAACAAAGGAACACTATAGGGTCAGAAATACAAACCTCTAGTCCTGATCCTAGTGTTAAAATCACTATCTAGCTCCCTTGTCGTCGTCCCCCCCCCCCTAAATATAGCAAAATCTTACCATTATTTCAGTCTACTGCTGGCTCTGCACCTGACCTGCCTGCTTGACTGACATCATAGGAAGTGGGGATCTGAGCCAATCACAATGCTTCCCCATAGGAAAGCATTGAATTGTCTGTGACTGTCAAGGAGGCAGGGCCAGCACAAGCCAAAGAAAGCCCTGACCAATCAGCATCTCCTCATAGAGATGCATTAAATCAATACAGCTCTATGAGGAAAGTTCAGTATCGCTATGCAGAGGAGACACTAAATGAAAGTGCTGCACTGCCTAGGAAGCACCTCTAGAAGCCATCCGAGTGGCCAGTGTCCCCCAACCCCTTGCGCTTACTCTGCGTGGGCCGGACCCGTAACACATGGCGGCGGGCACCTGGTTGCAGGGCTGCTGCGACCGCGGTATGTACACCACTGCATGCAGATACATACACTTAAAAGACCTTTTCTCTAAAAAGACAAGTGTTTATTGCAAAAAGCATACAATAAGCTGTAGCTCTGGTGACTACAATGTCCATCTAAAATATATATATTATATACTTATAAAGAAGTATAGGTCTTAGTCCTGTTATAGCTCTCATCTCTGTCCTCAGGCAGACTTTCCAGAAAGTATAGCCGTTAGCTGCATTCTTATCCAGTTCCAATACTGGACATATACAACTTACCTAGATACTCACGAACAACTTCCCAAATGTAAACCATAGGCCTTGAAAAAAGCCTCATTGGACATGTTTGGTACTACAGAAATTTCAGGTCTGCTACTTGCCTTTTCTGCAATGAGGGGAGGTGCTAACCATACATTAATGCTGCCATAGCTTAATCATAAAATATATACTTTAAATTGAGAAATAGTACTGCTTCCAGTCCTCAGAGGAGAAAGTTTTTTTTTTTTCTCTTGATTTTATCCACATGGGCTGCATTTCATTTTTTTTTTTCTTCTATGAACAAATAAATAAAAGTTTAATGGGTCTTAGCACATCTTCAACAAGGGTGTTTGGCATACTCCCAAATGCACACATGTAGAGTAGGAAGTCTACTACTCAGAAAACCAAGTTGTGGCTTTGCAGACCACAGAACAGTCTAGTTAACCACACAATCCAATCAGTGTGTAAACAAATGGCTTCTATCAGCTTATACAGCAGTTCCACTGATCCTGTGTGATAAATTAAGGCCCCATAAAATAGAATTGATCCTAACTGGAAATGAACAGTTTCATGATCATTGAATATACATGTATATAGATTGCTTTCGCCCCCTGCATTTTCAAATATGCATTTGAAAACACACACAAGCTCTATACAATATTTTCAATATGTGTCGATTTTAACCATTGTTTCCCTTTAATCGGGCTTTAATTTTTATCAAACACCTTTAGCAGTACAATAGTTAACCCCTTAAGGGCCAAACTTATGGAAAAAAAAGGAATCATGACATGTCACACATGTCATGTGTCCTTAAGGGGTTAAATGGCCAAAAATATGTAGAACAGTTTGCTCTGTACAAGCATGTTTTCTTAGATGCAGATGCCAGATTATAGGTTAAATCTAGTAATCATATTTAACATAGCTATATTTTCAACCTCTTAAGAAAGGACAAACGTAGAAGCAGTGGGTGGAAAGTACTGGATAGTGGGTGAAAAGCTCTATAAAACAATTGGCCTGCATGACTTTAAAAGATTAGATTGTAATTTTAAACTGTGAGCTGAACACGGTATGACCAATTGTAATGACACTTTGTCAAGCAATACATTTTTTTTACCCCACAAAAGTGAGAAGATAGCTTTCACAGCTGCACAAAAGCAATTATGTTTTATTGTATGCTGCAAAAAACTGCTGGTCCATGAGATCTCACATTTTTAACCAGCAAAAAATAAAGAGAAACAATCTTATATCTAAGTGATAATTCACAATTTAGTGGGAGTTACATTTATCAGGAAGGTACGATAAGCAGCTTGTTACTTAAAAGGGACACTTTAAATCAACCACTTTAACAATAATCAGAACTTGGCACCTACAGACTCCAGCCACCATAACTGCAATCTGTTGAACGGTTTACTCACCAGAAGCCCATCTTTCAATAAGGAAATGACAGAGGCAGCACTAAGCATTGCTTTGTGCCATATCAGTGGTAAATGGCAGTGATAGGCCAATTAAATCACTGCCCCAATCCCCGGTATGAATTGCTATGGTGCAGGTAGACTCATAGCCCAATCTTTGATATCATTGAAGGCCTTGTTGCCAGGGACCTAGCTATGGGTATATAGTTTCCCAGTGATGCCTTACTCTGCACCCTAACCACTTCAACCCATTGACATGGTATAGTAACTACAGTATTTAAAAGGTACACTATAGGCACCCAGACCACTTCAGCTCATTGAAGTGGTCTGTGTGCAGTGTCCCAGGTCCCTTTACCCTGCAATGGTAAATGTTTCAGTTTTTGATAAACTGCAATATTTGCCTTGGAGGGTTAACTCCACCTCTTGTGACCATTTACCAGACTGCAAATAGATGGACTACACGATGGTTAAGCAACTTCAGGCGTGAGGTAGGGGGCACAATACTGACAGGAAAACAATGTTTTAAGGGCCTAAGTGGTTTCTCATTTTTATTTTGTGGTTATTTCAAAATATTTGTCATTTGGTAGTTTTAATAAAGATCCATTACAAAACTGCCTAAGGAACTACTGTGCAACATAAGGAAGATTGTCAAGACCAAAATGACTCTCTGGTCCGGTTATTAGTTGGCTTCGGAACCCCAAAATTATAGCGCTTAAAATACTGGCAGGTGAGTGGGTTATTGGCCCATTTATAATAAAGTTATGGTTTTCAAATATAGGGAAGTAGTCTGCTGGATCCTCTGCAGCTCAATGCTAGTAGGTCACTCTCTGGACCATATGAATAATTAAGAAATTTATATTTGGTGCCTTTACCCACAAGAACTTTACTGGCGCTGGAAAATTTCATGTGGTAACTTACTCTCTCCAGCTCAGAATATTTAGCAAAGATTGTCCTTTTTTGTACACTTTGGCCCTAAATGGCTTTTGCATTTGTATGCAGGAGTTGTTCAAGCCATCCTCAGAGTGACTAGTGTACTTTAATTATGCCAATAATTAATAAGAGAATTGTTTATATATTCCCTTATCAAATTACTGCTCTGAAGCAAATATTTGAGAACTATTAACAGAAAAGAACTTGACTTGAAATGAGGATTCAAATTTTAAAAATAAGGGGAATAAAAACTCTATTTTACTTTTTTTTCTTGCAATATACTTACTTTTAGTCTAGCAATCACTATCCAAAACAGTTTGCCAGGATACCCCTCGCCTCGGACCGCTTATTTGATTTTAGTTTTGTTTGATCAATTTAATTATTTTTCTTCTCCCGGTACACTGAGCCAAACAAATGTTTTAGTTAGTCTGTATGTATATTTGGCATTTAAGTAAAAAAATTAAAGGAAATTAAGAAAACACAAACACAGGAAAATAAGATGAAAATAAAACAAATGATAATTTGGTGTTTGATAAAGTCAATTTTGACAAAGTATGAAATAAACACCATATCCTGATGTTAAAAAAAAAAAAAAAACCCTGCTCTTTATTTATACTAGATGTGTTCAGGTTTTCTAAGAGTAGGTAAAATGGCTTAAAATATACAAGACTCATTTGAAAACTCACAAGTGTTTTGGATTAGTGGAAGAAAGTTACATATCCATTTCTGGAGTTTGCCACCTACACCTTCAATCGCAATAGTGTGTTAAAGGGGAACAATCACTTTCCAGGAATCTTAATATTACGTTTCCGTATCCAATATTCAGCAAAGGGCAAAGATATTGGAGTTCTGAAGTTAGAGGCTCTCCAATCTTGGCTCTACATCAGCGTTATAAATGTTGCCCTTGTCGGCCACTGAAAATCGTTCATTGAAGAGGAGAAACTGAAAAAAAATATTTGTTTCCATGTGAATTGCGAGCCCTGGCTTAAATAGATTGTGTTATCACTTGCCAATTTTTTTTTAGGTTTTAAAGAAAACTAGCATCACCAAAAAAAATAAAATTAAACTAAACACAAGTAATAGATTTTCAGTGTTTTATTCAATGGTGTAAATTCCAGAGTAGTGCCAGTTCTACTTTAAGCAAATAAAACTGAATGCTCCAGCAACTGAGAAATGCCTAAAAGGGACATTCCAGGCTGTAGCTTTCTAGACAACATATTTAAAAATAAATAAAAATAAAGCACATACCCAGCCTTCCTCTTCCCCCAATAGGATGAAGTGAAGGTTAATCCAGACATGGAATCCCTTGCTCACTGTGTTCAGAGGGGTACAACTCACACCTCACTAAAAAGGCCCAGAAAGGCCAAAACCATCATGTCTGGGTTGTTGCATTTCTCGTGTAGAGGGAACTTGCAAGCATTTTGGATCTGGACTGCCCTTCTAAATGAATCACAGTGCAATATGCAGATCATTCTGTTCTCTATAGAATAACACAAGTGAGCTAAAACTAGTTTGAGACCTGAACAGGGAGTCACTAAAAAGGCAAGCTATTCAGTGTTCTGAGAGCAGGCTTTCAGGATAAGAAAATGGCTTACATTTTTGGGTTTAAATAAATAACACTTAAGAATGATGACACAGATGCTCAAGTCCTACAGAAAGTTAAGAAACAGGGGCTATAGTAACGGCTACATACTTTAAGGGATATTTCAGTATTTACATAACGCACTGGAACAGGGGTAGGCATTATTCAGCATTGCCAATTATGATGTTCCAACTGTCTGAGCCAAGTCTTTTAAGTAATAATTTATAGGCATTGAATCAGTTGACCTGCACAGACACCATCAACTTTTTACTGAATTCGTGACATTACATACATCAGTATGTCTGTAGCATGAATGGAAACACTGCAAGTGTAAAAACACCCACCACAACTAACCTACATACTTCACATAAAGTGGTGGTGCTTGGCTTGCGCTATTAAGCAGAAGACAAATATTTTGTTTATACCAAGTCTACAAAAATATGAGCAGGTAAATCTTATGAGTTTTTAAATCTGAGCTGGGTCAAAACATCAGATTAATGGTTTCTGATTACAAAACCAAAAGTAACTCACATTTAGCATGCTTAGACAGGATTGCAGATGGTGTAGTACTTCTTGCAATTCCAGTTCAAGTATTGCAATCCAGCTTGAATGAGATAATGTCTATATATTCGATATTAATAAAAAAAAGTTTTGTAGATTCATCACAAAATGATTCTTACTAATGTGATCACATTAGAAGCCAATGGCTCAAAGATAAACTGGAATAAATTACACTAGCGTTACATAAAATGTAGACCAAAATATATACAAAAAAAACCATACATAGTAGAAAATGCATTTTATTTGTATGGAAAAAGCTACAGTAAGATTTGTAAAAGATCTGTGAGTTTATATTGCCCATATGAAAAACAGAAACTAGAAGATAAAATAAAAATAAAAAAGTGAAGAGCAAGGAAACATAAGTTTCTTCTTCTAATTAGCAGTGCAATTAGTTCACATTGCAATAAACTAGTGTCAAGTATGCAACAGAATCAAAACGTTTCCCCATAATTAGCATTGAGAATTACAGTGCAAAGATCATTTTAGTTTTTAAGAAATCTGCAATCCATTTATTGAATAATCTAATCTAAAGCGGGGTTCTAAATTAAAGGGTTCTCTTTGTCGGACTAGGAGTGGTGTTGTGACAATACTGTGCATAAGACAGAAAAAAAAAAAGCCTAAAAATGTGTTTACTTACAAAGGTAAATAAAATATATTCAGTCTATACAGTAAAAAAAAAAAAAATACAAATTAAATAGTGAACTAAATAGAATGAAATCTGAACACAGATTTACAAAAATAAAATAAAAAAATGACAATGACAATTCAATGCGGTTACAAATATGTAGTATTGCTCAAGTAAATAAAAATATATCTAGTCTTCAGAAACGTTTGGTTGCTTTAAACCTGCATTATGGATTTTAATCAGAAGTTCAGGTATCTTAAAAACCACATCAAATGTCTTTTGCAAAGTACACACAAAAATCATAAAAAAAAAAAAAATGACACTTCCATCCTAAGTTTTTTTTGGAGTTTGCTTCGCTTCCATGAAGCTTAAAGGGTCTAAAAATCAAAGGGGCTTTGAAGGACTTTGGAACAGTAAACTGTGCTCGGTTTCTTCTCATTTTGAAAAACCTAGAATTTACAGTACACTGGATTATACGAAGTTATAATTTTCACAAATTTACATTGCATATTTCTGAGTCCATTCTCTTGCTAGTCTGTTGTATCTGTAATAGGAAAGAAACAAAATGTTATTTTTAATTTGTCCTATGTAAGCTTCTTCCGCCTAAACACGGCACCTTCCATCACTTACATTGAGAATACAAAGATAATTTCAAATTCCAGGTAAAAATAGCCCAATGGAAACATTTACTAAGTTACTTACTTTTCCTTGTCTGACTTGTAGATCTGTGCAATATCTGGTACTAAAGGATCATCTGGATTTGGATCACACAGTAAAGAGCATATGGACAACAAAACTACAAGAAAAATAGATAAAACATTCAGACTACGATTCTTACAAATAAATCATTACTTTTCAGCCGATTCTGCTGGAATATGTAGACACCAAATACCAAGTGACCAAATGCTGTGTACTTTACCTACACAGCACCTACTAGAGGCATATATCAAGTACAAGTGCAAGACTTTCTGGGGAAAATAAACAAAAAAAAAATAGTTATTTATTAGTACTACAGGTAAAGTACACAGCATTTGCTTGATATTGCAGTCTTGCTAAACCAGGTTTATTAATCTAGAAAAGGATGAATGTCCATTTTTAATAGTGACAAATGGAACACACGCTGCTCATCTGGATTGTTAAAGCTAGTTGAAGATTTTATAAGAAATATCAATTTAATCTGGAAGAATATTCAGCCAAAAAAGCGCCTTTCATGGCATTTGGCGTTTTAGGACAACCTTGTGCAGAATTTTACTATCACAAATGAAGTCTACTGGAATTAAAGGATTACTTTATTAAATAGTTACTATCCTTTCAATTTCATTCTGTGTCACATATATTGCCTAAACAAAGTGTATTCTCAGGTTACCCCTTCACCAATCCTGGAAATTTACAGTGGACAGGGAACCATTATGGTTTATGAAGATTATTAACTACATAAACCATAAACTCAGTTGTGAGAAAAACAAGTGAACAAATTACTTTTTTGCAGTCAATACTCAAGTGTAAAATAAGATTTCAAATATAGGCAATGCTGATAATTATTTGACCCAAGAAAACATTCTTGGACATGTAGGAAGAGAGTTCTTTCTGCAGTCAACAATGGGGAGTATCCGAGGAGAGGGAGGAAATAAATAAAATATATACACACACACAAAAATACCACACACTATACACAAGACATTTCTAACTTATCTTTAGTCAAAGCTAGGCCTACATTTTATAATTCACACTGAAAAAAATCTGCAAAAAGAATCTAACTGGAGATATGGGGAAAGGAAACTGACTAAGATTTTCCATTTTTTTTAAATAAAATTCAGGAGCCAGTATTACAAAAAGGTATGTTCTGTGTGGTAGAGCTTAAAACATGCTCCAATACACAGTCCAGGTTTTGAAGAGCAATCGGGCCAGTGAAAGGGGGTGTCTGTCCTTTTCCCTTTTTTGTTTATAACAGACCCGGCAACGTTTCTGGTGATTTGTTTTATTTGCAGTTGGCTGGATCTTAAAAATAAAATGCGTAATGCCAATTCTGGATTCTTCTGTCACCGTTGTTGGAACTTCAACAGAACCATCTCCATAAAGGATTGTGGAAACCACTTTAAGTTGAAATTGGAGAAAGGTGGTTTTTCCAGGATTAATTTTAAAAAACAAAAAGTAAAAACGAATTATGGGTTGCTACTTGCATCAGATAAATAGCCTCCTTTTTATAGTAGGCTTTAGTTTTTCTTAAAGATATGGCTGCATCAGCTGATTAGCATGTGCCTGTTATAAGCCCTGATGCAAACAGGTTTGGAATGTACTCTGCCTCGGACAGTGACGTCTGACATGCTTTCGTCATGGATGGTGGTTAGTATGAGAACCAACTTCCTGTCCTTAAATTTTATTGCAAGCACTTCAGCTTTGCGCAGAGATTTACATTCAACTTTTTTTTTTAATTTGGCCTCTATGAGGGGTCTTGGGAAATCTTTGGATTTTCTCAGTGCCGCAGGCCAGTGTCTGAAAACCATAAAGCGTTTTAAAAGTTGTCCACATAAAGGTGGTAACTATTATTGAAGGGGATCATTAGGTCCCAAAACAATTTTCCTACTTGTTCCCAGAGAGTCAGGACAGCCAGGAGGGTCCCAGTTGACCATCTTTCCCCTCATATACGCAAAAGGCAAATGTATAGCCACTTTCGCTCTCGCACAGTTTGTACAATTTTACGCCATACCTAGCGTGCTTTGAAGGAATGTATTGTTTGAATCCTAGTCTCCCTTTGTATTTCATTAAGGATTCATCAATGGATGCATTTTGTTGGAGAGTATAAACTTCTGAAAATCTGTGCTGAAGATGGTCTCCCAGTGGGCGTATTTTATGAAGCCCATCATATTGGGGGTGATCTCTGGGGTGACAGGGTATTGTCATTGAACTGTAAGTATCCCAGCACCAACTCATTTCTTGTTCTAGACATGGTTTGGGAGTACACTGGACTAGAACAGATTGGGTTGGTGCTCCAGTAAGAGCAAATTGATGGCTTCTTTATTATCCCTATGAGCATTGTAAGAGCCCAGAATTTTTTGAGTTCAGGGACATCTGTGGGATGCCAAGCATGCTCCCTGACTACATAGTTACCTGGATTGGCATCAAAAAAATTGCGTAGCATATAAGTTAGTCTGAGAAGCAATCTCCTCCCAGATAGTATCCCCTAAAGTTAGCTCCATGTATTGCATAGGGGAGAAGTCATCCACATTGACATTAATGCCTGCGTTGGCACTAAAAGGGGGGATGTTGGGCTCAATCAACTGTTAAGGTACCCAGTCCTCCTCCACATTCGGCGTAGCACAGCTTTTTGCAGCCGGCTCACACACAGATGACGTGTCAGAAAACTTACTTGGGTCAAAAGCAGACTTAATGTCAGTGGCGTTGGAGTCTGACTCCAAGAAGGCATATGCCTCCAAGCTGTACATGTGCTACATGTTTCACCAACACACTGACAAAACTAAAATTGCCACCACAAAAATTTTTTTTTTTTTTTAAAGTTGACTAAAACTGAAGGAAAAAGATGCCTTTATATAAAAAAATAAAAAAATAAAAATAAAACAGCTTTTTGACAAAAAAACCCTTAAGGTAAGAAAAGGGAAACACTACAAATGCACTGTTGTAACAGGACTTGGCAGGGAAGGAGTTAAAATTGATTTTTTTTTTACTTTTCACAGGTTCTGAGACCTCTAGCAACACTTTAACGAACCGGCTACAAACTATCACGCAATGATTTCTGTCTCTCTCCCTCACAAAACGCTAGAGGAGAGAGGCGCAGAGATCAGTGTCAAAGTGAGTCTTTGTAACACCCACTTTGACATCAGCCAAATGGGAGCGATCGCGGATCGCTCACACGCCGTAATTGGCTGTTACTATCTGCCCAGGATGCCGGGCAGATAGTAACAGCGGGACTTCGGTGGAAGAGATCTCTGATCGCTCCAGCGGCCCGTTTTCTGTTATGACGGTTCAGGACCGTCACTGGTCCTCAAGGGTATGTTACTGATGACAGTCCTGAACAGTCACTGGTCCTCAAGGGGTTAAGTCATACATTTATTCTTAATTGAATATAATGGCAGCTTTAGGATCACACATTTCTTTTGTAAAGTGTCTTTTCTTCCCCTATTCATGAACAACGCAATTGAAACATAACAGCACATCCTTCTACCTCAAAACAACTAATCAACCCACCAATGCATTGTGCTTCTTACCTTTTGAAACAGTCAGTGCTGGGGACCACTGTGACCTCAGGATGTCAAGACAAATACTTCCATTGCTGTTTATGTTTGGGTGATATATTTTCGTTGTGAATGCAACCTGCAAATCAAAAAGGATGGCAATGCATTTAGGTACATAAACGATTCAATTAAAAAAACAAAAAACAAAAAAAAACCCTATACTAATGAATGAGAAGACAAAAATACATGAGACATTCCTATAAATCCATGAAATATCCGATTTGGAAATATGTGAAAGGATGGATGTTTATAAAGATTACCTTTGGTGGTTTGAAAGGGTAATCTGTTGGAAAATGGATTGTAAGGAAGAAAACACCGCCTTGATATGGACTGTCAGTCTGAATAAAAGAAAAAGCATATTATGAAACACTATAGATTATTGTCCTCCACATAGACTGACAGAATTTTATAGATAGGTTAAGTATGCAAAGACACAAAATAGTCTGAGAACTCTATATGCATTTCAACTGACTGGAACAAACAAAAATAAATAATAATAATAAAAAAAAAAACACAAAACACTACAGTAGATTAGAGGCACTACCTGTATGTTTACAAGATAAAGTTAAGTCATTACCATACTGTGCAAACACGTTTATTCTGTCTGCCTCTACAGTGGGCTTTGTGTTTCTTTAACCCCTTAAGGACCAACTTTCTGAAATAAAAGGGAATTATGACATGTCACGTGTCCTTAAGGGGTTAAAGGAACACTGTAGGCACCCAGACCACTTCAGCTTTAGTTTTTATAAACTACAATAATTACCTCGCAGGGTTAAGTCCTCCTCTAGCAGCTGTCTACCACACAGCCACTACAGGGATTTCCGGCTTCTAGACATCCGCACAATATGCATGAGGACCTGCAACGTCGCAGGAATTTCCTATGGCGAGGTCTAATGCGCGTACGTGGATGCGCATTAGGGCTGCCCCGCCGGCAGATGTCAGCAGAGGAGTAGCCTGACCCTGCACTGAGGGACGTTGGCGCTGTATTCAGGTAAGTGTGGGATGGGAGGAAGGGGGGACTCCAGGACCATGCAGGGCCAAGAAAACGTTTTTTTTTCCTGGCACTGGAGAATCACTTTAAATGGATCTCAGGTTTTGGTTACGGTTTTGCTACAAATTTACTTAGAACAGGTATGACTGAAATACCATGATCTTTATATAAATATGACAAACATAGCAAAAAAAAAAAAAAACTTTTACATTCACTTATGACACTTCTGCAGTTTAAAGAACAAAATGTTAATTTAAAATAATCAAACTCATGCTATCTAGGCATTTGGTTTTAAATAACCTAATTCTAAAAACCAGTACAAAACCCTTGAGGTTTAAGGAGGCAACCTTTGTATTTGCTTAAACTAAAACAAAAAAATCCCTCCTAAGCCTGAACACTGAAATTATTATTATTATTTTTTTTAATACTAGTTGTACCTTAAAAATGTAAAATCATTAAAGTATTACCTCAAACACCCCCTTTCAGTATTCTTTATTCATTTTTTCTGGACAACATAAAATCAAACATTAAAAGGACAAGTGTTTACATAAATTTGATAATGCAGTTAATTGTAATTTCTCAATACACAGTCCTAGTATATTTGCTAGAATTGCTGCATAGATTTTTTTTTTTTAAATCAGTGTTTATTAAAGCAATTGCTCTATAATTTCTAACATCAGAAGGATCTTTATCCATTTTTAAAATTGGGCGAATATTGTCTTGTAGAGAATTTAACTTGTATCTCTTGGAAAGACATTAAGTCATTCTATATAATTTCTTTAATAGATCTACAGGATTTAGGCCAATTTTCAAGTGATATATCCAGCATATTATCTTCTAAGACCTCCAAATGGGAGGTATTAATAACCCTATTAGAAATATTCAAGCGCTTCTTTAAAAGATCCCAAGCCATTTGTGACCGAACCAGTGATTTTTGATTGAGGTCATTTGAAATTTTTCCCCACTGTTGAAAAATTCAAGTCTATCCTTACTCGCCACCTCTGACTCAATCTTAAACCAAACGTCATCTCTAAAGGATTCGACTTGAAATTTATATACATGAGTGATATTTGAAAAGTAGCGTGTTCTAATATCTGGATAGTTCAATCCTCCTTGGTTGTATTTTCTTGATAACACCTTCCTACTGATTCTTGTTTTTTTACCTTGCCAGATATATAATTGGATACTAGACTGAATCATTGTAAGCCAACTGTCTGGGACAGCCAACGGTATCATTCTAAATAAATATGTCCATTTAGGAATGATATATGAATTGATTATGTTTATTCTACCAGACCAAGACATTTCTAAGTTTTGCCACTCTTTCAACTTTATATTTGTATATTTTAAAACATTTTATTTCCATAATTTTGCTAACCTGAGAAGAAATTGTAATGCTGAGATAAGTGAAATTACCATCAGACCATCTAAAGTCAAAACGGTCTTTTAGTTCATCTAATCTATATTTATCAATGTTCATAGTTATGGCAGTTGACTTAGATACATTTAATTTGTAGAAACTTTAGAATATTCATCGATCGTTTGCATAAGAAAACTTAATGAAGCTTCCAAGGCCGTACGTGTAATTAACATCGGCATGTGCTAATATTTTTACCTCTGTTTTTTATTAGAAAGCCCTCAATATTTGAGTTATTTCTAATATTAATTGCAAGCGGCTTGTGTAAGAATATACAGAAGTAGGGGATAAAGGGCAACCCTGACATGTACCGTTCTTCAAACTGAACCAGTCGGACATAACACCTATGGTTCTAGCTTGGGGTCTAGAATAAAGGGCCATTATGGCTTCATGTATCCAACCCGTGAAACCGAAGGAGGTTTATACCTTGTCGAGGAATCCCCAGCTGACCCTGTCAAAGGTATTCTCTGTATCCAGTAACAGGGCCAAAAATGTGATCCCCGATGCTCAATAAGATCAAGAATATCTATGATGCTCCTAGTGCAGGTATCTGAAGACCTGCCCTGAACAAATCCTACCTGGTCTGAATGGACCAATTTCTCAATACACGGTCCTAGTCTATTTGCTAGAATTGCTGCATAGACTTTTTTAAATCAGTGTTTATTAAAGAAATTGGTCTATAATTTCTAACATCAGTAGGATCTTTATCCATTTTTAAAATTGGGAGAATATTGGCTTGTAGAAGTTCGTCTGGGATTGTGGTCTTTAGAGCTATTTCATTAAAGAAAGCCACAAGAGGCTTACTGATTTTTCATAATTTTGTAAAAACCATTACAAAATCCATCCGGCCCAGGTGTCTTTAGGAGTTCTAGTTTATCTATCTGTATTTGCCTCATCTAATGGAATTTCACCATTATCTTGGTCCAATTCCAAGTCAGTAACCTTAGGAATAAATGTATTATTAAGTACTGTTTTATTCCAGTCCTATCAGAAACGATGTCGAGATTATAAAGTTTGGTATATAATTCGTTAAATGTTTGGCCAATAGTTTCTTGAGAGGAATAGGTTATTCCTTTTTCAATGAGTTTGACTATTAGTAATATTTTGTTTTTTTAACCTAAGTTTCTTATTCGTCCTATTACCTTGATAAGAATTTAATCTTAATTTATTAATAGTTACCTTAATACGTTTTTGGAGTTCAACTAATCTTGCACTAAATTGAGGCGTTGGGTGACCCTTATTCAATTTAGAGGTATTGAAGTATAATATGTTTAGGTCCACCAGGTCCCTATTCAACAATTTTTTAGAATTGTTTTCCATTTTAATAAGATATCCTCTAATGACTACTTTGTAAGCTGTCCACAAAGTGGAATCAAATATCTGGATTAATGTTTTCATTCCAGTAGAATCTAGTTAATTATATTATACAATCGTAATTTACCTTAAGTTTAAAAAGAGAATCATCTATTCTCCAAGAGTTCAACAAATTCTGTACTGACCTTCCTAACTGGAGAATCTGAAGGGAGTGGTCAGACCATGTATTGTCCTTAATTTGGATAATTTCTATTTCTTTAAGGGTAGTGGCTTTGACCAAACAGAGGTCTATTCGGGAATAGGAATTGTGGACCTTAGACAGATGTGTAAAATCAACAATGTCTGGATGGAACATTCGCCAAGCGTCATAGCCCGTAAAGAGCAGCTAGGTTTGTCAATGTCTTAGCTTGCTTACAGACTTGCCCATCAGACTTCAGCTTATGGCAAGATTTTTTTTAATCAATATGTGCGTCGAAAACAGTTAAAAATCGCCCATAATAATTAAGGTACCAGTAATGATGTGCTCTATTCTAGAAAGAATTTTGGACAGAAGTGTTGGATTAAATCATGGGTTGTCAACCTGGTCCCTACCGCCCACTAGTGGGCGTTTCAGGATTCCAGGTGGGCGGTAGGGATTTCGGTGGCTAAATCTTCCGTTTGAGACAGTGCATGCGAACGCGTGCATGGGCGCGCAAAAGTGTAACACGTGGGAAGAGGAAGGGGAGGAGTGGGAGCTGATGCCTGATAGCAGGGACAGGCAGAAGTGGAGCAGAGTGGTTGTAAAATAGGAGAAAGAAAAGTTATAGGCAGAGTAAAGAGAGAATTGTTGTTGGCTAATAAGTGGGCTTACTTTTGTACATTGCCATAAGGAAGGTAAAAGAAAAGGATAAAAAAAAAAAAAAGAAAAAGAAAAATAGAAACAGGGAATGGAGAAAGAAGGAGCAGAGTACTTGTAAAAAAAGGAGAAAGGAAGGAGCAGAGTACTTGTAAAAAAGGAGAAAGGAAGGAGCAGAGTACTTGTAAAAAAGGAGAACGGAAGGAGCAGAGTACTTGTAAAAAAGGAGAACGGAAGGAGCAGAGTACTTGTAAAAAAGGAGAAAGGAAGGAGCAGAGTACTTGTAAAAAAGGAGAAAGGAAGGAGCAGAGTACTTGTAAAAAAGGAGAAAGGAAGGAGCAGAGTACTTGTAAAAAAGGAGAAAGGAAGGAGCAGAGTACTTGTAGAATAGAAGGAAGGAGCAGAGTACTTGTAGAATAGAAGGAAGGAGCAGAGTACTTGTAGAATAGAAGGAAGGAGCAGAGTACTTGTAGAATAGAAGGAAGGAGCAGAGTACTTGTAGAATAGAAGGAAGGAGCAGAGTACTTGTAGAATAGAAGGAAGGAGCAGAGTACTTGTAGAATAGAAGGAAGGAGCAGAGTACTTGTAGAATAGAAGGAAGGAGCAGAGTACTTGTAGAATAGAAGGAAGGAGCAGTGTACTTGTAGAATAGAAGGAAGGAGCAGTGTACTTGTAGAATAGAAGGAAGGAGCAGTGTACTTGTAGAATAGAAGGAAGGAGCAGTGTACTTGTAGAATAGGAGAAAGAAGGAGCAGAGTACTTGTAAAAATAGGAGAAAGGAAGGAGCAGAGTACTTGTAAAAAAGGAGAAAGGAAGGAGCAGAGTACTTGTAAAAAAGGAGAAAGGAAGGAGCAGAGTACTTGTAAAAAAGGAGAAAGGAAGGAGCAGAGTACTTGTAGAATAGAAGGAAGGAGCAGAGTACTTGTAGAATAGAAGGAAGGAGCAGAGTACTTGTAGAATAGAAGGAAGGAGCAGAGTACTTGTAGAATAGAAGGAAGGAGCAGAGTACTTGTAGAATAGAAGGAAGGAGCAGTGTACTTGTAGAATAGAAGGAAGGAGCAGTGTACTTGTAGAATAGAAGGAAGGAGCAGTGTACTTGTAGAATAGAAGGAAGGAGCAGTGTACTTGTAGAATAGAAGGAAGGAGCAGTGTACTTGTAGAATAGAAGGAAGGAGCAGTGTACTTGTAGAATAGGAGAAAGAAGGAGCAGAGTACTTATAAAAATGAGAAAGAAGGAGCAGAGTACTTGTATAAAAGGAGAAAGAAGGAGCAGAGTACTTGTAGAATAGGAGAAAGAAGGAGCAGAGTACTTGTAAAAAAGGAGAAAAGGAAAATATAAAAAGGAAAAGGAGAGAATTGTTGTTGGCTAATAAGTGGGCTACCTAGCTCAGCCTTCCTGCTGGGCATTGCTATAAGGAAGGTAAAAAGATGGGGGGTAGGAGGGAGAGGAGGGGATCTGATGCACGAATGAGAAATCATTATGAGCAAACAGAGGTCGTCTGAATATCACCGAAAGAGGAGACCTTCATTTGTTCCTTACGAAAATCAAACCAGATATCAAATATTTAGTCTCGCAGCATCAACCTCAAGGATCTCAATCACTAGTAAAGGTAATTTCAATTTACTTTGTCTTCTCATGAAACTTTCTAAAGATAAAAACATTATAAACATGCATAAAGTAGAAATAAAAAGATAAATGTACGTACACCCTCCTTTCTAAAAAATATTCTGCACTTGCGCGAAAACTGGTGGGCGGTAAGGACATTTTTCCCCATCAAGAAAGATGCATTAGTGGGAGGTAGGTAGAAAAAGGTTGACTACACCTGGATTAAATTAAGATTTGGTAAATACACACTTACTAAAAGTAAATTTATCTTCAATAGAACATATGATTATAAGGAATCTAGCACTAGGATCCAAATCTATTAATTTTAGATCGTGTTTAAGATTTGAATCAATTACAATCGCTACCCCACATTTCTTATCTTTATCTAGAGATGCCTGATAAATGTATTTATATTTTTCTCCACCCCATTTTTGTGTTGCTGACTTAATCCAATGAGTTTCTTGAAGAAAGAATATCTGAATTTTATGGGAATTCATAAACTCATATAGTATCTGTTTCTTCCACCTTGTATTCAACCCCTGTACATTGACAAATCTCAACATTTAAATTTTAGAAGGAGTAATTCTACTGTACCTAGAAATTACCTGTATTCCAGCCCTTAACTTATTTACCAGTAAGTGTCTTTTAAAATATACATAAAAAGCAGTGTCCAAGAGAAAAAAAACAAACCAAAAAAAACAAAAAACAAACAAACACAATACATTGGACAAGACAAACAAGAGATGGAACACCATACTTCCATCTACAATTAACACAATATGACCCCATGGTCTACAGGCCATGGGTTCCAACAATCTTCCTAAGACTGGAAGATTTGGAATACCTGTGTTAAAACACAGGAAGAGGGGCTGAGGCCATTGCCCAAAATCACTTTTAAGCTCATGTTATATACATATACCGAGAAGTGGAGAGAAAACAACAAAACGATAATATTAAATATGATACATCATATAAGGTGCTTTATTGCTACGAAATTTACTAAATCAAATGATTATTATAACCTTAAGTGGAGTAAGCGTTCATTACTTCAACCTTAAACATAATTTATTCTAATGTGAGTTAGATCATTTTATCAATTTAAACATTTATCTGTGGTTAGTTCTATCCCCTTCTCCTCCCTCCCTTTTATAATATTTAAGTTGCCTAGAAATTCCTACTTCTTATCGTGATTACTGTAGCATCAAATATATTTATTAATCCTAATAGGACCTCTATTAATCTGTTATATTGTGGCAAAAAACAACATTTTAGTGACAAAATAATAAGTCATTCAGCCTTTACACCCGTGTACAATACTAAATTGAAGTATCCGAGAACATACATATATATTTAAAAAAAAAGTCCCAAGCCGTCCGATATAATGTAATGACTAAAGGTCAGTGGAGAGATTTATTCAACATACATGTTTTTAACTTATCTGGGTGGTCAAAAGTCTCTGCCTGTATATATGACCATCTTCGTAGGGAAGCCATTTAAAGCTTATGTTGTGTCTCTTGATGATGCTTATCTCTGGAGAAAAAAAATCTCTTACTTCTTGTGCCAAAAGATAGATCTGGCAGAGCAATTATCTTTGAATAAAGGCCATCCTTAATAATTTTATCTCTGCTAGCACTTAGTACTTTCTCTTTAAATTCCGATGAATAGAAGGAAGCAATTATGTCTCTTGGAATTTTTAGAAGACAGATTTGCTGGCTTATGAATACGATGACATCTGACTATTTTTTTCCATCAAATCCATTTGACTGGAGGCCCAAGGCTTTAAAACTTCTTGCAAATTTTCTTGTTAGTTTCCGTAAAATCTGAGATTGTTTCTTCGTGAGCGATCTTCTAGTTCTTCTATTTTATTCTCTTGGTTTTGAATTTTTACAGCCATAGCTTTTACTTAATTTAGGAGTTGCCATCTGAAAATCTGTGTTTATTAGTCTGTCCTCCATAGCCTGAAGTTTATCTGATAACTTATTTAGTTCCTTTCTAATTTCAGCACGTATTGCTGCAGAGTTTGAGGAAATTTCCTTCTTTATTACCTCTAATACGGCTTGAAGACTTGAGTTTAAGGTTTTAATAGTAATTTCTTCATCATCTTTATTTACATCTGTAACGGAAGATTCCAACAGATGTGGAAAAATTTAAGGATTCTCTCTTTTCTTTGGTTTGCTGAGAGAAGTACCCGTCCAGATTCTTATCCTGTTTTGGGTCCCTCCTATCTTTTTGTTGAGACATTTGTGACCAGATAAACAGAAAGGGTCAGCGCTAAATAAAATAAAAGTAATATAAGGCAGCAACCCTAAGAAGATCCCTCTGAACCCTTCAAAGTAACAAATGAAAACAAATGGGGAAGGGCTGCACCACAGAAAGGAGGTACTAAAATATATTCAAATATATTCCCAATAAAATACGATATACAGAATTAAAGTAGTCTCTAAGTAAAATAAATAGATAAATAGGTAAGTCCAGCTTTGGTATCTTGGTTATTTATACTAGAGGGATGTGAAGGGTCTGGGTCTTCTCAGTCTCCGTATGTGGAAAAAAAGAAAAGACAGAGCGACCTGATCGTGCAATATGTCTGGGCTAGACGGACAACACTTAAGAGATAAAAATATTGCACTCACACGAACAAGAGCTATGACCAGCTCTAGTGGATATCGCATACAGTGGTATAATCCCATTTATGGGATATGATGGTCGTAGTCTTTCACAGTAGATGGTAATCTAGGTATGCTCAGTGATGACAGCGTTAGTGGTATGATCCCCACCCAGGAGGTTCTTGAGAGTAAAGTAGATAACCGCTCTTCAGGTTAAAAATAAATAAAATGAATAAAATTGCCAGGAAAAAATAAACTGAGATTGAGTAAATTATTGAAATAAGGAGGTAGTAGTTTGTAATAAAACCAAAAATCCTTTATTCAATATAAAGTTTTGAAATAAATATCCATAACGCATTTCACAGTGTGGGCTTTATCAAATGGATAAATAACAGTCAACCTGGCAAATAGGGAAAATATAGGGGAGAGGGTAGTTAAAAAGTGGCTCCAAAATTGCACCATAGGCTGTCCACCAATCAGCACACATCGAAATTTAGTACATAAAAAAAATTCAATAAATAATGGTGTGGGTGGATAGCAGGAGACTTGGGGACCATGGGCATAATATTTAATTTTAAAAACGAGCATTATATAACATGTATCGGCTGTTTAAAGCCAAAGCAGGAGACTAGGGTCGCGTGCGCGTCTGTGTTTACCGGCCGCAAGGTCTGATGGGGAATGTAGTTTAAAGGGTAGTTTCTCGTTTTTGGCGAAAACAGTGTTTTTAGCAGAGTTTAAGTGAAGATAAGGGTGGGAAACATGTATTTAAGCATAATTACTAGTAGGTGAAGGATAGAGTGGGGGAAACATTTAAACAAAATTAGTAGGGGAAAGTAAACGTAATTAGCAGGGGGAGGTGGGGCACGGCGGCCATATTTAGAGGGGAAATTAATAGTTGTGTATATATACATATATACACATATACTATATTTAAAGTGGAACATCCTAATCGTATTAATTGCACTAGATATACAATTTAAGTGTTGATTAAGAACCATAATGGATTTAAAGAAATATAAGTACTATATGATAAAAGACAAATTAGAGTAAATAAAATAGAGACATAAAAATGAATGGGAGGAAGTGGTTATAGTAAGGGTCTGGATAGCATTAGGAATAATAATTTCTAAACTTAACACAAGAGCTAGCAGAAATATTGTAAAGAACGTAAATAAAAAAAAATAGGTAATCAAGGGTAAAATTATACATAATGGACATAAGAGGCTACTGCTGAACATAATGCCGTAGTTTGAAACAACTATGCTAAGGGTAGTCTCTAATCTCTATAGGTAATGTCACTTGTGTGAAGATTGGTTGTATAAAGTCACCACATGGAATGATATTAGTGATTATTAGCTAAGGTCCAATAAATATTAAGAAGGGATAACTCCTATTTAAGAAATAAGAATGCAATGAATGTATACGAGAATAAAAATATTTCTTAAAAAATTAAAAAGTTAAATAAAATTATGCAAGTCAAAATCTATGTTTAAACCATTTGAAGCAAGTGTCCAAGTTAAAAACCCATTCCATTTCGGATCTACCGAGGATATTTTTTATATTTCCTCCTCGCCATGGAACGTTTCATTTCTTGATACCAATGCATTTCAGTAATTTTGGGTCCTTACTATGTATTGTAAAATGTTTAGACACTGATTGGTTAGGGTAACCTTTAGAGATATTCATACAGTGTTCGCTTAATCTAACTTTTAGGCTCCTTGTGGTCATCCCTACATATTGGAGGCCACATGGGCACTCCAGCAGATAAACATTTTTAGTGCTACAACTGATAAAATCCTATTTGATTTAAAATGTGTGGTTTTAGATGGTACTGATTTATCTGTGCTTTTACATACTACGCATCGTTGGCACTTAAAGCCTTTAGTGTCAGAAGGGAAAAGCTGTGTTTTTTTGTTTTAAGTTCTCTTGTAAAATTGGTAGTTAGGATGGATTAAAATTTGGGGCTCCTCTAAAAATAATATTTGGTTTTTCAGGTAAGATATTCTTTAGTGTTTCATCCTGTTTCAATAGATGCCAGCGTTATTTCACAATTCTTTTAATAGGGCCACTTTTATCATTAAAGTTAAAAAATCATGGGTATTTTTGTCTTGATATATTAACAGATTGTCTCTCTTGTTCTTTAACTTTATTGATAGTGATTTAGGCTGCTAGGTGAATATTTTCAATAAATTTGTTCTTTAAAAAGTTGGCCTGATCATTAAAATCGTCTATTAGGGAGCAATTTCGGTGAAGTCGTAGGAATTGGCTTTTGGGAGCACTTTCAAGCCAGGGTTTCTAGTGACAGCTTGATCGGTCTATGGCTGTATTCGTGCAAACTTTTTAAAAAAATGTTCTAGTATTGAGTTTGTCTTTAATAAAAAAGTCTAAAAAGTTAACGGATTCCCTACTATATTCACATGTTAAAACAATAACAATTACTGTTATTTGTGTTGAGGGCAGTAATAAAAGAATTCAGGGAATTTTCCGAACCTTCCCAGATAAAAAAAACAAACAAAAAAAAAAACAAACGGTCATCTATGTATCTAAAATAGACCAGGTTTGCACGCCAAGCGTGCCCACCCCAAATGGCCGTGGACTCCCAGTCAGCCATAAAGAGGTTGGCATAGCTGGGGGCGAACCTGGTCCCCATAGCAGTGCCTCTGTTTTGGAGGCAAAAAGAATCTAAAAACCAAAAATAGTTGTTTGTTAGTATAATATTGATGCCTTCTAGAATAAAATCAATTTGGTTGTCAGGTATTCGTTCTTCAGTCTTAAGGGTATTTTTAACAGCTTCACAACCTATGTTATGGGGAATAATTGTATATAATGATTGAACGTCACACGTATCTAAAATAAGGTTTGGGTTCCAATTAAAATTACATAGGAATCTTAAGAGTGACATTGAATCCTTTAAATATGATCTCATTAATCTTACTGATGGTTGTAGAAGGATGTCAATGTATTGGGATAGGTTACACAGGAACGAGCCAATCCCTGATACAATTGGTCTACCTGGGGGTTTTATTTCATTTTTATGGATATTGGGTTAAAAAAAAAAAAAATATATATATATATATAAATATAAAATACCCAAAAATTCATGTTAAGTAACTGAACTCCTGTGTTTAAAATTTGTGACTCAAGGCCTTTGTTTAAAAATGTAGTTAAAATTTGTTGAATATTGAATGTGGGATGAGATGGTAATTTTTCATACACATTACAGTCGGTCAGTTGTCTAAGGGCCTCTTCTATATAGGCTTTACTGGATAGTATGACCAGCCCTCCGCCTTTGTCTGCTGGTTTGATAAACAATTACAAGATGACAAAGATAGTTAAGTGCAGTCCTTTCTTGTTGTGTTAAGTTGTGAGGAGTAAATTTAGTGTTAAATTTTTTTCAAAGTCCTTTAAGACGGATTTTTCGAACATTATTAATGGGGCTGATTTGTAATTAGAGGGATAAAATTAAAATTTTCTCTTTTAGGTGTGTGCTAATAATGTTTGTTTCATTTTTGGGGTGTGTTTGAAAATGAGGTAGATGGGTTGGTAAGGCTATTTATATCATTTAAAAGTGTGTTTGAGAGTGAAGTAGAGGGGTTGCTGGGGTAATTTATTTCAGCAAAGAATCTTTTCAAGGTGGCCTTACGTACAAATTTGTTAACATCCAGGAATACTTCAAATGGTTTGAAAGTGTTTGTGGAGGCAAATTTAAGGCCCTTATTAATAACAGATATTTGTGAGATTGTTAAAAAAAAAAAAAAAAAAATTGTTAAAGATTCCACATTTTCATTTGGTAGTTATAAATCTTTCAGATCTTTCTTCTGCCACTTCGTCTTCCTCTATACTTTGATTTAAAAAATGTTTTGGCTCTTGGTGGGTATGGTGTTTGTACATATGTGTTGGGATAGGTTCGGATTTCTAAAAAATGTTCGTCATTATCAATTTTAGATTCTAGTGATCGTAATTGGTATCGGTTTTGGTGATTAAATGTGACAGGTAAGTATTCTTCATTTTATGCATGATCTTTGTGGTTTGGGTGAGTAGTGTTTCCCATTTGGGCTTGGTAAATTGTAATAGTTAGATGATATTGGTTTGTTTGGTGCTCGGTTTGATGATTTACGATAGCTCTATTGTGGTGGATAGTATTCGTTATTTGTGGGTTGATATTGGTTGTATGAGGAAGCGTAGTAATGGTTGGTTAGTGTCTGACCAGAGCTGCTTTTTTGGTAGCCATTTAGAAGAAAAAAAAAAACAAAAACAAAAAAAAAAAAAGATGGCCTTTGTTTATAATAAAGGAGTTATTCACATGGGATTGTATTATTAACGAGATATCGTATCATATAAGTGTCCCTTATATTCCTTCTATTCAACTTGTGTAGTAACACCAAGCCGATTGCAGATGACGTCAGTCTTGATGTTTCCTTTTTTCTCTCCATTCCCTCTTCTCCTTGCTTTCCTTCAACTCTTGCTCTGCTCTCCTACCAATATGCAGTGCCATGCACTGCAAGATTATTTACTCCATAAAGGAGAGAGATAAAAAAAAATAAAAAAATAAAAAATAAAAAATAAAAGTCTGTTTATAATGGAGTTATTCAGATGGAATTATGTTTTTAACGAGATATCTTATATCATATAAGTATCCCTTATATTGCTTATGTTCAACTTGTGTGGTAAAAAAACCCATCTTATCTGGGTAGTTTATTCCAGAAGGGTGAATATATCTCCCAATGATTAGCATTCACTTCAGCAAAGCGGTCATCTGTGCTTCATAGGTCTCCTTAAAGTCAGATCACCGAACAGCTTGGGTCTAAGCGCCCATTTTGTCAAAATTACACTCAGATTCGTTCAGTGGTTCGGAAACGCTGTTCGAATTACGTTTTGACCTGTGCCACGAGGTCATACCTCAAACTGTTTCATAGAAAACAAAAGCAACAACTGGTCATTTTTCGGGGTTCTCACACGAACACCGACGAATGCTCCCCTGGCTGTTCGGGAGCGAATACTCCCCATGCTTAGAAGATCCCATCTCCTGAACGCTGTTTGTCTAGGTGGTCGTGAAGTAGGATGGGCAGCGGTACCATATAAGACCGGGTTAGCGAAGCCGAAAACCGTTCCAGGCGTTCGACAATTAAGTACCGCTGCCTGCGTTCGGAAGACAAAATGTTCGCCATGCACTGGACCACATGCGCTCAGTTATACAAATGGCAACCACCCAGGGAAAGCACTTGAGTTAATCACCAATTTGCAGTTAACAGCAAGGGGAGGGCAGTGTTCGAATTGTTATAACAGGGGAAACCACACACCGTCCATTCGGGAGAGGAACAAGGGGGTACGAACAACCGAACATCAGGGAAGGGTGTTTGCTAAACTTCATAATGAAATCTTTGTTTGTACCATTTTACAAACTCAGAGGGAAAGGGAGAGCAGGAGCAATAAAAAAAAAAAAAATAAATAAAAAAACAGAAAAAATAAAATACATTTCAGAATGGGATAGAGTCAGGGAGGGCTGCAGACAACGAGGGAGTGGAGACATGAGCTTAACAACGAGAAACAGTAAAAGTATGTACATAATTGACATTAATACAGCCCGAAGCGGAGTTCAACCTTCCAGTATGTGCAGTTTTAACCAGAAAACTGCACATCCAGACTCCTACCACAATATTAAAAAGCAGAAGTTGTCATGGTGGTTTAAAAAAAAAAACCCCTTTAAAGAACCACTATAGTTCCAGGAAAACACTTGTTTTCCTGGCACTATAATGCCAGGAGGGTACCCCCACCCTCAGGGTCCCCGTCCCACCGGGCTCTGGGGGCGGAAGGGGTTAAATTTACCTCTTTCTCCAGCGCCGGGCGGGGGACGACTCCTCCTCGGCTGAATGCACATGCGCGCACAGCCAGTCCCTAGGAAAGCATTCTCAATGCTTTCCTATGGACGCTGGCATCTTCTCACTGAAAATAAATCACAGTGAGAAGCGCCTCTAGCGGCTGTCAATGGGACAGCCACTAGAGGCTAGATTAACCCTATTATAAACATAACACTTTCTCTGAAACTGTTATGTTTATAGAAAAAAGGGTTAAACCTAGCTGGACCTGGCACCCAGACCACTTCATTAAGCTGACTTTGTCTGGGTGCCTATAGTGGGCCCTTTAATAAACTTAATGTAACTATTTACAGGTTGTTTTTAAAAACACCTTGCCGACATTTTACAAGCCTAATCTGATAATTGATTGAAAGCCATCTGCTCGTACAGTTACATATACTGGACCTCTAGGTATTCGATACATTCAAGTGCATGGCAGTTTAGACAAAAATATTGCCTGTATGAGCTTTAGATTTCTTTGAAGGGCAGACAAACTAGATTTGAGGTTTGTAGACAATCTCTAATCAAATCTGAACAGAGATAGAACTGGCATGTTTGTACAGGTAGAGAGAAATCTTATATCAAACAGCATATACACTAGCTGGAGGTTCCCTTGCAATTAAACAAGTATATTTTATCTTCTACTCTCAACAGAGACATTTTTTTACTTCAGCCAAGTCAAGCAGTTGTACAAAATGGAGCAAAAAAAAAAAATATCAAATACTTACAGGTCCCATGATGGTTGCTTGCCAATGGAACACTGAAATGAGATAATATATCCATTAGGTTTCCACATTCAAAACCTACTCCTACTTTGTTTTAATAGTAATTGTCAACTTACAGTCATCACCCACTGGTCCTGCTGAACACTGGGCAGGAGGGTCACGTTGCAAATCATTAAGTTCCTGAAAGTAAAGCGAAATAAAGATGCATTTATAGAACAGAGACACACACACAAAAAAAAAAAGTATATAAAAACCATCATTTCAAGTAAATTTTTTTGGCAAAATTTCCAACTGACAGGCCTCTCTGCGCTCTACCATTTGTCAAGTTACATTTTGTTAACATTGTCAGCATACAGGTTCAGATGCAGGCACGTTCAGAGACGCCAACATTAATGCAACACTTTTTATGAACTTAAGATAGCTTAACAGCAAAGATTTATAAAGCCAGATGAGTATAGTAAGCTATAGCAGACAGATATTCTTGTAATTGTTCATTACCAATACACAGTCCAAAATTAAACTGCAAACTACCAAGATCAACCATTTCAGTTATGGTGCCCATCATGCAAAATAGTCAGTGCCTGATCTTTTCTAGTAGCTAAAAAGATGCTATTCCCCCATTAATCTTAGTGGTGAACCTATCTCCCCCAATTGCTTTGATGAACTATGAAATCTATGTATAAATCATGCTCGGGGGAAATAATCAAGACTTGTTGCTTCTGTAGATTCAGACTTCAGCATAGTGTTAGTAATACAATGTTTCAGTTTAAGAGAAATTGCAATGCTTACACTGCAGTGCCAAAGGTGTCGTTAGTGGCTGTCTACCAGACACTAGTGGTGCTTCCTGCAGTTTAACAAAGCTTGACTTGCACATTAGGTCCATGCCATCGGCAGAGAATGATCTTGACGCAGGAATCCGCTCTCCTGTCCATGAAAGGGTTATAAACCCTTTAAATTCCCTTACCTGTGTAAGGCTGTGGGTGCAAAGGGACACTTTAGTGTTAGGAATACAATTGTATTTCTAACACTAAAGTGTCCCTTTAATGTTATGTTGACTTATCAACATTTAACAAACATGCTGCTATGCAGACTCTATAGGAACAAAGACCACTTAACCTCAATTAAGTGGTCAGAGTTCCAGGTCTTCACCGTTTTAACTTTGCAGCTCTAAACATCACAGTTCTGCAGGAACAGCAATGTTTTCATAGCAGAGTTTACCTGCTTCCAGTGTCATACCAACAGCCACTAGAGCTGCTTCCACAAAACAGTGAAGTAAAACATTTAAAACCAAAAAATATAGAAGCCCAGTAATCTAAACGATGACTAGGGTATTATAGCGTTAGGAATAAATATTTGTATTCCCAATGCTATAGTGTTCCCGTAAAAGAATTCCACATCTCTTCAGTTTGCAGCTGAGCACCTCCATCTTAGATAAGCAGTGGGTGAAAGACCCACTGTTCGAGCGAAACATTGCTCAGTACATTTCTATTCCAATAAGTGTGCCTACTTACGAGCTCTGGAATGCACAAACCGTTTTGGTACCATAATTTTTGGATTATCTGAAATCAGGGCTGTTTGAAACAGACATCTTTATTAAAACCGATTTAGAGACTTCTTAATATCTAATTTTCATGAATTGTTTCTTTTTTTCTTTATAGCTTTGACATTCTCTGCTGCCTAGCCTGAACAGACCCCCCCCCCCCCCAAAAAAAAAAAAAGTTTGAATGATTTTAGATGCAGAACAGTTTAGTGCAGTAGAGTAAAAAATACACATTTTTAAAGCAGACTATCCCTTTAAGCACTAACAGATTACAATTAACTTGTTTTTACATTTTCAATTTACAAGGAAATAAGGCATGCTTCCTTAAAATGTCCACGGTACACACACAGCACCTCAACACCCAGAAAGGTGAGAAAGGCTATTAGCAGCATCACACCATAAATACAACACATTGAAACGTGAAAATCTATGCAGTGAAGCATCCCTTTAGACTGTGTGAAGAGCTTTATTTGCTGGCATGTTGGAAATGTACTAGACTTAAACTAGAATGGGCATCCTTATTGTGTATTAAGATTGTTACACAGAATAACGAGAGAATATCTAGTAAGATGGAAAGTCAGTGCCATCACACGCAGAACTGAATTTTACACACACCATGCACTTTAATTTGTCGGAGATTAAATTCTTTAAAAAAATAAATAAATACCATTTTAGTTATATCGTTACACACCAATGCCAGGATGAAACACATTTGAGCTATTGTCTGCAAACTGAAGGCTGACTAGCTCTACACAGAGTTTTGGATTATATGATCCATGAGGCACAGCCATCACTTTCTGACATTGCAATGCGATCCACAGTCTGTCATCTAAATTCCAGCATGACATTAGGAAATGGGTAACAGAACCTCTACTAGGTCAAACAAAATGGTCCTACTATATTTACTGCAAGCGAAATGGCCATCAGTACTGATTGAGCAGGGCGCATGCAGGTTTGGTTAGCATGTGTCCCAGAGTGATCCACACCAATTGTAAAAAAACTGCAGGTGTCTGGTAAGATAGCTATATTAATACATCCAGGGAGCATGGTTAGAATAAGAAGCTTGTTTATAACAAGGTTACATTTTATAAAGTAGTGGCATTTTAAAGGAGCTCTATAAAAAGTGCTACATCACATATTTGTCTGGGCCCCCCTCTCCCAGTATAATAGATGAGTAAATGGACTAGTTATTTACATGGAATCAGACACTTCTATGCAGTCCCCATCCACTTCTGCTGACATCAGGCTTGACCAATCCAAAGCTTTGCTATGAAGCATTGTAGACTTAATGCTCTGAAACCACCACAACGCATCAAATGGTTTCTTACAGAGAAGCATTAAATCGAATGCTCCACTATGAGAAAGATTAGAGAACCTTCAACATCCTCATGCAATGTGTCAGGACTTTGATCGTCAAGAACAGTGACTGGTGGGTACCGAAGCATCATCTAATGGCCATCACAAAGACAGCCACTAGAGGAGTGTTGAACCCTACAATATTAACATTGTTTTACAGTATTGGAGCAAGACACCAGGAGTACCACACAGACCACTTGATTGAGATAAAGTAGTCTAAGTGTCTATAGAATAATTTTAAGTCTGTTACACATCTAAAAGGATTACAGTATGAGGAAAAAGCACTGCTTTTGTTCATAAGGCTTCAGGGGCAGGATCTACGTAACAAAAAGGATATTATAAAGTATATCCCTAGAATTTCCATTAAAAATAATAAAATTATGACAAACCAAACCACAAACATATTGAGGACTGAATTAAACATTACAGTCCTGTAGTTAATGTGCTTGTCTCACATTGAGGTGGCTTTCCGTGACATCTTTTGTTTAACTACTGTATTGAGAGATTGGTGCTGACACTATCAAAATGTGTGATACACATTTCATAGATTTAAGGTAAACTAGCTGTGCTTCACAAGTAACTAGAAGTTCCAGCAATACTATTTACTAGTTTGCAGAATGTGGATTTATGACATTCTAAACCATGTGAATATGTAACATTTCACACATTGACAAGAGGATTGAGAATCTTCTCTCTAAAAACCAGTTTTAGTGCCCCAGCCCTAAATAGATAGGGATATTGGAAAATTTATATAGCTTGAGAAATAATATTGAGAAATTAATACACAAGTATAAAGTGGCATGCTTGGAAAAAAAAAAAAAAAGCTAAATAAATGAGGACAATTTAAATTCACAATAGGCAGGATTTTGCCATTGCATAGATCTGTACTGGTTTTTAAATGTTTTGAACGCACTTCATATACCGAACACTAGAGTAAAATATTTCACACACAGATCAGTTTTATCTTGAAACTGTATAGTCACCTGTACAATGACTCATGCAAGGTAAATGCACTTTCTAAAGTCAACTTCGATCACTGAACAAGAACAGAAACCATTTAAACTTTGTGAACACCGTTCCTTGAAATAAACATACCTGTAAGACAAGTATTTAAAATTAGGAATATGACTAGTGCTCTATCAACACTAACACTATCCAAAGGATTTAAAACCTATATAGGCGGAATACAAGCAGGAACTCAAGTACTCAAGACTTCTACAAAACACTTTTCCTGACTTAAAGGGCACTATGGGCACCAATAAAACTTCATCTAAATAGAATTGTTATGTTGCCAGGAGGAGCCTGGAGCACTCTTCAAAGAGGTTAAATCATTCTCGAATTGTTTGACCCCAAACTTGCCTCCATCAGCAAAGTCTACAGACACAGGGTTGTGTGTGGACATCTTTGAGATACAAGTGCCTCCCGGGAGCTCCTGGCACCATAACATAGTTTAGATTACATGGTTTTGGTACCTGTAGTGTCCCTTTAAGTTCAAAAGATATGCAGTTCTGAGAGATGAACACTGAATGGAAGGACAGTGCCGAAAGTGGGGAGAAATTATTTTTATTTATTTATTTTAAATCAAGCTTCCCCTTGCAGGCGTACTCAAAGTTCTATGTGCAAAGGAGAGCTGAGAAGGTTGGCACAAAGGTGCACATATTGTTTTATGTGCGGTGTTCCTACAATCATGACCACTTCTTCTAGCAGAAGTAATTATGGTAGTTGGAATAACCCTTGGACAACCACTTTGTCATACCAATTCAAACCAGCAGAACTTCCAAACACCTGATGCTGTAAGGTTAGTGTAAAACAATTCCTTAACAGTTTGACAGAATCTGTAGAAAAAAGTACATTCAAGTGTGTCTAAGTATTTTCACCTGAGGTGCCATGGGGAGGAACAAGTACTTCAAAATATTATCCCAACATTTGAAATTTATACTGAATTGCCAGGAAACACACTGCCACTCATAACAAACCAGATCATCCATTCAGTTTCACAATCCGAGGACAGAGTAAGGTTAAAGGAAACAAGAATAGTGCTCATTAATAAAAAAATCACTAGCTTTACTCTGCTGAAAGCAGATTCTATACATTTAATATTAGACGGCTATAATCAGACAGATCAAGTTTTGAAACACAGTCTGACGCGATACTGTAAAATAAAGACCATATTGCTCAGTTTAAATGATACTGTACATAGTGGAGCTCAATGTAAGGATCACCTCTCCAGTCTGTCAAGATGGGTAGAGTGACAGAATAAAAGTGACAGTAATCAACACAGGCCAGGAATAAACCCAAAAGGGATAACTCATTGAGAGCCAAAGGGATGCAATACAGCATTGTTCTTGCACAGCCACACAAATGAAAGAATAACTTGATTCATGGTGGAGATAAGCCCCTTTTCATATTCACCCCTTAGTTAAACTGATTCATACCGAGAGAGTTATATAATAAACCAATGTTGCAAACAAGACTACACATCTGCAGAGATCTAAAATCTTTAAGAGTAGAGAATAGCACCCTTCATCATACTGTGATAAAGTGAAGGCAGATAGGCCTTTTAACCCCAGGGGGAGTATGTGTAGGATGTGTTGTAGGCAACACAAAACACTGTTTAGTTATGGGCCCCTGGGGTGGAGCATCTGGAGAGAAGGGTGGGCCAATGCTCCACTCCACAGTTTAGTGGTTTTCTGGGGAGACATGAATCCAGGCCAGGGTTTTTTGGATCGTCTCCAACCCACTGCTCAGCTGCAGTTAATGAGCTGTTGCAGTGGGAATAAACTCCTCCCTGCTAGACAGGTAAAGGAGAGGGATTGCTGGCTTCCTCCCAGGAAGCAGGTAGGAGAGAGAGGCTGTTCTCTCCAGATAGAGTCAAGCAGTCAAGGCACTGGGAGTGCAGAAAGGAAAGCAGTCAGGGCAAGGCTGGCTTGGAGCACTAGGAGTGCAGAAAAGAAAGCAGTCAGGGCAAGGCTGGCTTGGAGCACTGGTAGTGCAGAAAGGAAAGCAGTCAGGGCAAGGCTGGCTTGGAGCACTGGGAGTGCAGAAAGGAAAGCAGTCAAGGCAAGGCTGGCTTGGAGCACTGGGAGTGGAGAAAGGAAAGCAACAGGCTAGCTAGCAGAGTGTTGCTATCTAGTAAGGTTGGTGCCATATGTTTTTGTTAGTTTAACCCTGATAGAGAGGGATATACAAAGTGAGTTAGTGCTCAGACGAGCTAGGTTTTTTGTTTATAGGGTTTTCTGTTACAGTTATGTTTTTCATTTACTGCTGTATCCTGTGTGGATTTTCAAATAAAGTGCATGGAGTATATGCAATTACAAAGGACTGTGCATGTTTTTGCCCTAGAGGACCGTGCTACATGGTGACAAGGATCACAATACATATCCTAATGCCTCTGGATTCATGTATCTTCAGATTCATTGAAATAAGGAGCCACCATTCTCAACAGGAACAAGATTTTAGAAACCTGGAGACATGTGCAAGTAGGTATCAAATCAAATATGTTCAGGATTGCTGGGCATTTAATTCTAAGGAGCAGTTTCAAAGATTTACATATTAGAATAAATGTACAATCACATTTTAGGCCCAGTGAATTCTGGTGGCAGCTGATAAACATGGAAAGTGACCAAAAAACAAAAAAAAAAAAGCCACTACTGAACACACAGACAGGAGCAGAAAAGCTCTAAACATCCAACATGATCTGGAAGCCCCTCACTCCAGCTACCATCTGTGCACAGGACGGAAGACTGCGGATGCAAGCTCCGGCAACGGAAAGTGTGCCTCCATAGGATAGACTTATCCAGTCTGTAGATAAGCTTGGGCTCAGATGGTTACCAGGAATGAGAGACAGCAAGACAAGCTGGAATTCACCACCTTTAGACATCGGTTAGGTGGTCCACATGTCTTGCCTGCAGCTTAACTGTCTCACTGATGCCATTATAAGTTTTGCATATAGTTCTCAGTGCCTCATGTTACCCTAAGAAATATAAACCTATGCACCCAGTGTTAGACTTCTGAAACCATCTACGGTTACATGATTCTCTATAGCATGTACCTATATTGCTGTTGTCCCCTACAAATTAGATTATAAAAAGTGCAGTTTTACCAGCATTTCATGCCTTGCAGAATTTTCTATACACTGCTATATCTAAACTTGTGATATGTAAATACATGATTACCTGTTCTATGTACTACAAAAATAAAGAAAAAAAAATTATCCTGCACTCAGGTGTGGTGGAACAGATTTTAAAATGGAAATTTGAGTCACATGGAAAAGTCTTTAAAAAATAAAATAAAAAAAATAGCTGTAGCAAGTGCAATATTGATCACTCAAGAGAATGTATGATCAGCATTTTCCAATAGGAACAAGACATAACATACATGCACACCACAGCTGAGAGATTCCTTTAACCCCTTAAGAACCAAACTTCTGGAATAAAAAGGGAATCATGACATGTGTCCCTAAGGGGTTAATAGCCATGGAGCTTGTATGCCATTGCACGAAATAGCACTTCGACTGAATGACTAGAGTTCAAGTAGCAAATCTTAAGAGGAGTGGGATGAACCATGCTACCTGTATTTTAGGATAAAATAGGGTGATTCACTAAAAAAGGAACACTAATGTCACCAGTAATGTAGCTGTTATGGTTTCTGCTGCCTATCCATTTTCAGTGAAAAAAGCAGAGTTTACACTTTTCCCTAGTAACACCTCTAGATGATTATTATCTTTATAAAGCGCCAACAAATTCGACAGCGCTTTACAGTGGGTAGATGTGCTCCCTGGGTCAGTGTGCACATGTTCAGCACCTCCATGCAGAGAGTGGAGACGCTGAATGCTCCCTATTGAGATACAATGACTCAATGCATGTCTATGAGGAGATGTTGATTAGCACAATGCAGCGTTTTGTCATGCATGTGCAATATTCTCCCAATGCTTTCCTATGGGAAAGCATTGGATTGGCTGATAAAGTTTGATGATATCAGACAATGAGGCAAAGTGTTGGCAGGGCAGCTGCGACAGGACTTTCACAGCACTGAAATAAAAAATAAATAAAAAGTACTAAAAATGAAACCTAAAATAGGCTTTTACACCTTGGTATTTTTGTATTTGTGACACTATAGTGTTTCTTTAAAGCTCCCCCTGGCATGAAAGAATTCCATCCACATCTGGCATAATTTCAAAGAAAATATCAATATGAGAATTGCAGAAACTATAATAACAGTACTACTTTCTGTTGAAAACAGGACAGCTTTAAATTAACATTAGGCAACAAGACCCTCAGGCAGCTATTACATACTGGGATCAGTGAGATCACAGCATGTACAGCGCTGTTACTTATTCATGGTCTCTCCACTCTGTATGTGTTGACACACAGGGAGGTATGACAGTCGCGATGTAGCATCTCACTGGCTTGCTGCTGGAGTTAATGGGTGCTGAAGGCTGTATATGGTGACCGATAGAGGTGCGCAAGTTATCGTTAAATTAAACGACGGATACCAACGATCAGAAACATGACGAGTCTTGGCTCTACTAATTGGCAGAACAGTTAATCGAACTATCCATAGTTCTAGACTTTAAAGTGGAGGAAAAAGAAAAACAAGAATACTTGTCTGAGCAAAGGAAGAAAAGTCACAAACTTTTGAAAATTGTTATTTGATCAACAGTCATCACAAAAACAAAAAGAGTTGACTGTTAAAAAGTGACAGTGTCATTCTATCCAGTTACCCTCCTTTGAGCAAAACACAATGTATACACCTTCAGTTACACTTGCTGAGTAATGACTTTTTAATTAAGTTTTTTTCTTCTTTAAAATTTAAAGCGGATGTCACTTTTCAGTATTTCATAAAGATATCTTGTATTATATAAACTGTATTATTATACACTGAACAAGACTGTCGAAACCGTAATTCCAATACATTACAAAGATAAGATAAGTAGGGACCATGGTAAAGTTTGAGATTGACAAAAGACCAAATTTTTGTCCAATCACAGTAGCCATCATAAGTGACTACGCCATCAAGAGATCTCAGTGCTGTATTCTATTCAGTGTGTGAGAGTACCACAATGACAGTTCCTGTTGACAGAGCACGTGGAGATAAAGAGACCTGCAGGACAAAGATGGTGGCAGCTGCATGGGACAGCTTGAGGTAAGGGGAAAAAAATAGGGGGGAAACAAAAAAGACAAATATAAAAATGTACAGCAAGAGGAATACCAGACCATTTCCTGTGAATTGGCCCCTTCCCCCACCTCCCTCTCCCCCCCCATTACAGGTACATTTTACATCAGATTGACCAATGATTTGAAGATTAGAAAAATCGATCATAACTTATACTAACAGTTCTATATAATGGCACTATAGTCAGTGTAAACAAACATTGCATGCATTTTGGGGGGAAAATATTACACTACCAAAAGTACTCCAAGAAGAACATCTGCCCACAAACATTTCAAACTGTTCAGATACATGGGGGCTGCATTAACCAGTGAACAGTGCAAGTGTTAATCGCCTCCCTCCATATGACGGCACATTTCATAACAGGAACAATGAATCACGTGAGTTGCAAGACGGGGTAATCACAAAGCTGTTCCAGGCAGGATGAGTTTGTATTGATAGCATTTGAGTCAGCATAAAAGCATGAGGAAATTGTAAACGCAACTGCAATTTCTGCCTGAAGCAGCATCAACATAAGGAGCACTACAGAAATGAAAGAACTAATGGAAGAGATCGAATAACAATAAACCAGTTTTAAGATGACATTTGTGTACATATATTATTTATGGACGTCACCCACATAGTAACAGTAAAAACATATAATTGTCCTAAATTAAAATATTATTTGCATATGGCTGGGTTAGAAAAAAAAAGTGAAAAACCCATTGTATTTTTACAAAAATGAATATACAAAATATCACTTAGATTTTAGAGATATATATATATATATATATATATATATATATATTAAGGTTATTACAAAATGGATTTGCCATATTAAGTGAGATATATATCTATACACACAGATTCTTTTGTATGTGCATTCTCTCTTTTTTAGATTACCCATGTGTTCGCACCACTATGCCAACAATATACACAGATTCTTTTGTATGTGCATTGTCTTTTTATATTACACATGTGTTCTCACCACTATGCCAACAATAGGCAGTATGAATTCTCCAGAAAGCTCTGTGTCACTGTATTAAAACAGTCCCTTATTTGCATAGAAAACCATCCTTGACATCAGGTGGAGTCAAGCATGGTCTTGGATATATAATTTACAAAGTAAAATTGAAAGGCATCCACACATTTAAAATAAATAAATAAAAACTGGCTGCAATAAGATTTGCCTGATGGCATTAGAGTAATTATGCCCCAGGCCAGCCATTAACTATTTCTGTTAACTTCTAACAAACCTTCTTCCCCCCCCTCCCCCACCCCCAAAAAAAACCCCAAAAACCCACCCTATTGACATCCTGACAGTGTCACTCCCCAACCAATGCCTGAGGTGATGTCACTGACCTGCCATCAAGAGTACCGTTTCCCTGCAGTAACCAAGATTTGACTCATGGTTATTTACTAAAGTGAGAAATCAGAGCGATTTTCAAATGTAAGGCCAAAATAACTGAACTAGGGGAAAAAACAACAAAAATACTCTTAAATCTCTGCTTCTTTCATGGATATGTATAAATAATTTAAAGTGTGGCTACGAAAAAAAAACTGGGTCATGTGCCACATACTCACTGAGGGGCACTTATCTGATGACACAAGGGTCACATCACTCAGCACCATAATAATTTTCACACCCCTCCTACTGTATGGAGAGGGCTGCCCTGCTTATAATCTGGAGAATTCTGAGACAAGAGCTGGCAGAAAGCCCAGGAATCAATCAGAATGAGCCCATAGAAAGTGTCTCATCCAATCTGAGTGCTATGTACTAAAGGGCAGCGCTGTCCATCCCAGCAACACACACACACACACACACACGAGACACAGTGTCCAGGATAACATGAAGGCCGTGCCCTCCCTGGGCGTGGGGGGAGACAGTGTCCAGGATAACATGGAGGCCATGCCCTGCCTGGGGGGGGGGTGGGAGAGACAGTGTCCAGGATAACACGGAGGCCGTGCCCTGTCTGGGGTGAGACACAGTGTCCAGGATAACACGGAGGCCGTGCCCTGTCTGGGGGGAGACACAGTGTCCAGGATAACACGGAGGCCGTGCCCTGTCTGGGGTGAGACACAGTGTCCAGGATAACACGGAGGCCGTGCCCTGTCTGGGGGGAGACACAGTGTCCAGGATAACACGGAGGCCGTGCCCTGTCTGGGGGGAGACACAGTGTGCAGGATAACACGGAGGCCGTGCCCTGGCTGGGG